AAAACAGGATAGAAGACCCCAAAGCCATACTGCTTTACTACACTACTGGCCAAGCTTCCCACATTTTAAGGGACCTGCTACAATAACTTCTTGAGCCTTCCAAAACAGGAGAGGTTTTGGCATCAAGAACCCCATCCTTCCACCTGTGTGCAGAATTGAGGTTTGAACACTGACTGTTCAAAAATGTTAAGAGGAAGGAGAAAGGATAGATGCTTCTGCGAAAAGAGAGCTCACCTTCATACCAAAGCGAGTGTCTGGCTTATCAGTCCCATAAGCAGCCAGTGCCTCAGCATAGCTCATGGAAGGAAAAGGGATGGTTATGGGGCTTTTCTCTTCAGGCCAAGAATACTGGAGCAGGCCCTCAATCAGCCTCTGGATCCCAGCCTGGTCTACAAATGACATCTCAATATCGATCTTAAAGATATAAGAAGCAGGACATTACATATCCACGGATACCAGGAAAACTGCATTCTTTTCCATCCACCTACCTCCTCTGAGTACCTAAGGGCTTTGTACAAATAAAGATGATTGATTTCAATATATTGTATGTACATGAGCAACTGGGGCCTCCTGAGTCTAGCAGGGCACCAGCAGGGCACAACCGGAGGGGGGCAAGGGGGTGCCCCCCAGTGGCCAGTTGCTGAGTGTGCCGGTGGCATGGCAGCAGAGCCAATTTCAGGGGGAGCACTAGCACTCTTCATGCCCCACTACCAGCCAGAGCGCTCGCTGTCAGGGGGGGGACCAGCACTCTCAGGGGGGGCATGTGCCACCCCCCCAACCCCCTGCCATGCCCCTCTTACGCGTCATCTATGTGTATGTATATACCACAAGCAGAGAGGTAGTTAGCCATGTTAGTCTATAAGGACACCTCTACATTGCCTTTTGTGTATACCATGCCAGCCTTACACAAAGAATGCATCTGTTACCTTGCAGACACAGAATATTGCTCAGTGTATCAGCAATCACCCCTGCTTGGAAGCTAAATAGCTAGTTAGTGATGCTAAGGACTCTGAGGGAGAGAAGTCACTAGGAAATCTTTAGGAATGAGCAGGACTAACTGGTCTTGTCCAGGTGCCAATGACTGTGAAGAGAGCTGTACAGCCCCAGCATGAAGGAAGCAAGCCAAACTTAGAGAGCAGCTCAAATGTCACTACTGGGCCTGATGAACATGGTGCCAAAATTCCCACCAGCTGAAACACACCTCTGTGGAAGCTGAATCCATTCTTTATCCCAGAGCTCAGTAACCATTTATTAGGCATGTGAAACGCATAGCACCAAGCACAAGGCTTGAAGGATTTTCAAGCTGAATGACTAGGAGCAAGCCTCACACCAACTGGATGGGCTAGCCCAACAATACATGCAGCTAGCAATACCAATCAAGGCTTCCTAACTTGACTGATACTTTGCTAGTGTCGTGACTTCAGGAGAGAAAAGTTATATAAAAGGGAAAAGTTACCTGAGTAAATTCGGGTTGCCTGTCTGGCTTTGAACCTTCATCTCGATAGCAGCGGGCGACCTGAAAGTACCTGCAATTGAAATTAAGAGCACCCTAAGCTAAACCATGTGTGCAAAATGGATTACACATTCCATTCATGACAGTTCCTCTAAGGACTCCAAACAGTATGAGCAACCATCCAGCAGAGAGTTGATGTCAGGTGGGGAGTTCATCAAAGGCAGCAGCATCTCAGGGATTCCCTGCCAGTACTATATTTGTAGCCATTTAAAACTGCTCAACTAAAACAAAACTTCTTCCCCTTCAGGTCTCTATGTTATATTGATCTGTGTTGACAAATCAGTGTATTCAGGAACCGACTTCGGACACGTTCCTACTTGTGATGGGCCAGTAGGGGGCGCTGCTGTGCTGAGCTACCCAGCTCACTGCACCCAGCCCAAAACCCCACTTTGAGTGTCTCCCCTGGGGGGAGACACTCAAACCCAGACCCCTTTCCAGAACCCACCCACGAGCCTGGGGTAACCGCTGCCACCACCCAGGGTCTGGTCTTTGCTAGGGCTCTGTGCCACCCAGGGTACACAGACCCTGTAGACCTTGGGGGTGGTTTGCTCCCAGCAGGATATATCCCCAGCACGATATATTAGGGGGCTTCTTATAGTTTGAAGCATTAACAGTAGTCTCCCTTAGTCAGCTGAGCAAGGGAGCTAAAAGGCTTACCTAATCCCTCTCGAGCAAGTACAGCAAGACTTGCTATAATGGATAGCTTCATTGATTGGAGAGGGTAGGCATGGGGAGGGGTACAGGTCAGAGAAGTATCAAAAGAAAAACCCTGAGCAAACAGAAGTGGCTTGGTAGCCTTTTGATATGCTTCTAGATCACTTCATCCTAAATTATGAGCTAAAATTCAGGTAAATTACTCACGTTTACATCCAGAGTCTGAGCAAGCTCTTTCTCTGGAGGCTGTATGGCTTGTTTGCTGTGTTCCAAAACATGTCTGTTCCTCTTCCTCAATGAGGGACCCTTTATACACCTGTCGTGGCCTCATCACTAAGTTCTAACCAGAAGCAGACCTAGTGGCTGCTGACCAGTGCTTCCAAAAGACATCAGCCCTACCAGGTGAGATGACCAGTAACATGACCTGCAGTGGTAAGAACCTGAGACAATGGAGAAGCGGATTCCCCCTCCCATTGGAATTTTTACAGCCTAGCCAGTCACATAGGCAGGTAACACAGGAAGGGAGTTGGGCTGTCTGCTTACAGTAGTGAAGCAGACTGGAGGGTGATTTCTCCACACTCTCAACTGGTCTTCAACCAGTAGGACCTTAAGTTCTGGAGTAGTAAGGAGATACCTCAGAAACACCTCCTGATTTTATTGCAGACATGTTCAAAAGTTTTGCATGAATGAACTGTGACCATGTCTTATCCAGTTCAATCACACACTTTGGTGTGAATTCATCTCAGGAGGAGTTAAGCCATGTAGGTCAGTGCGAGAGAGGAATTCACTATGCCTTCCCTTTTCTGCTTCTCAGACTTTCCCATCTCCACAAAGTCTTTGTGCATTTATGTTCAGAATCATGATAATATGGAAAATTTTCAGATAGTTTTGAAAATGTCATATGCAAATAGGGGATTTGGTCACATAGCTCCTTAATCCAGTGGGATTCTTGTGCCTAAATGTCCCTAGATCAATGATGTCTGAACTTTCTGGCCTGTGGGCTGGATGAGCAGTGCCAGGTCTGTCTGTGGTCTGGTCTGTGGACCTGATCCAATGTGTGGTGCTGGCCCATGCAGCCATGTGGGAACAGCTCACCCAAGACCTGATGCAGCCGGGTGGGAATGGGCTTCCTGGGACTCAGTCCCATATGGCTGCACTGGACCCTGGCCAAGCCATTTCCAAGTGGCTACACTGGGCCCTGGCTTCATCCAGCCATATGGGAACAGGACCTTATTCCTCTGTGGGGGGCTAGCCTGGCCAGGGCCGATTTAGCTGGGTGGGACTTTGAAATCTGGCAGCATGGGACCAATGGTGATGTTAACTGCTACCACTCCCCCACTGCCAAATTTCCAGGCCCATGGGCTGGATTACAGGGCTCTGCAGGCTGGATCTGACCTGTGGGCTGGGAGTTGAGCACCAGTTAGAAGTCACGGTAAATGGTGATAAGACTTTAAGAATCCTCCACCTGAGGTCACTTCAGCTGCAAAACCATTTGCTCTAAGCTCCTGAACAAACATTGAAATCTTTGCCCCCCACCGAAAAAAAAATAGGGAACAGACCTCTAAGGTCCTTATTTTAGAAAAAAGGAGCACTCACCTGTCCAGGCCTCCAATCATGAGCAGCTGTTTAAACTGCTGAGGACTTTGAGGCAGAGAGTAGAATTTCCCAGGCTCCCTGGAGGGTACCAGGAACTCCTTTGCACCCTGGTATCAAAGATGGGATAAGAGAGGAGAGACCTCTTAATACAGCGTATGGCTGACATTTTGTATCTTGCCACATGAGAAGGTTGAGGCAAAAGAACTTCATAAATTTCAAGAGAGGACTGGACACATAGGGACCCAATTCAAAGCCTACTGAAGTTGATGGTTGATTTTCCAAACTTCAAAAAGCTTTGAATGAGGCCCACAGGAACAGGATGAGCACCCTATGAGAATTAGGAACAGTGTATAAAAGCTCACATTAACTAAGCATAAGATGATCATGAGGCAGAGCTTGGAAGCCATCTCTTCCTACGGCACAGAAATGCAGACTTATGCAAATGCAGGGAGTCAGGGGATTTTACAGGATGTTTTATTTCGTTAAAAGATTTGTTGATTATTTTTATTCTTACTTTAGGGCATGGGTACATGAACAACTTATCAGGGCAGGGCTTTTCTGCCCATCGGCTGCTCTGTGGTTACTATCAGTGCACATGTTATTAAATCACAGGTTTAAGATGCTGCAGCTTAACTTTCATTAGAGATTTGATTCTATTTCATGTACTGTAGTTTATTTTTGGAGTATCACAAGTGCAAGTGACATAAATGAAGCATGAATGGCAAATTCTTTGTTTTCCCTTTCTTTTGGTTAATGGCTATAGGGTTCTCATCTCTCTGACCTCACCAGAAAACCAGGAAAAAAGCTTTGCATATAGTTGCATCGAAGGTGCTCTTGGTGATTCCCAAGGTATCAATGCCAGAACAGCCCAGTTAGCTAAGCCTTGCTGGGAAGATGGATGAGGCAGGTTGGTCAATGTGCACTTGAGGTACAGAAACTGGGTTAAATGAATATGAACATCAGAAGACATCTGTCATTAATAACTACTTGGAAAATAATACTGGACCAGAGGGACCACTGGTCTGACCTACTCTGCAAATGCAGAGTTGCTGCATCTAAGCTCTAAATGGCTTTCCTGTTTATAATGGAAATGAATTAATTTTAAAACAAGAAATACAATTTTTGGAATGGGATTGCAGGAGTGGGGGTAGGGACAGGGAAGGGAAGGTTCCTCAGTCTCTCCAAAGAGGAGGATGAATTTTTTTTCCAGAAAACAGGGAAGGAAAATACTACACAACTTCAAGGTGCTGCTCTCTTTGCAAACAACTACTCAAACACACTACACCTTTTTGTTTTTGCAGCTTTATCACCTAGAAATCCCTTTCAGCGAAGAGACCTGAGACGCAGATCTCTCCAAACAGTCCTGCCATGTTACTGTATTTTTTAAGTGATGATGGAACCATGTTCAGAGGTGACATCCCTAGAGGTGTAAGTTTCACTTTACGTAAGTTACCCACTAAATGGGTGGAGAGGTAGGCTGTGGCAGGGTAGGGTAAAAGACAGAAGAGCTTACCAGCCCACTTTACCTTTCAGCATATTGCTACCTCCTATTAGTTGCAGCTACAGCTTAGGCTTTCTATACACATGTCCCAGCAGGTCAGTTACATACAACATACCAACATGAACTTGCACCACCCTGCAAATCCCCTCTGACTCTGTTAGGTAGCAGACTCTAAGAGAGGAATGTTGGGTGCATCACTCTTCTGCCCTCAGTTCTACAGCGCAGAGGTGACAAGCAAGAGGAATGCTCGTGGCAAGCTGCCTGTCCCCCATGGCAGATCTAAGCAGAAAGTCAGTCCAGGATTTCCTCAACTGACCTGACTTCAGATGCAGGAACTAGCTATAAATAGTGGCTGAAAAGGGGTGGGCAGATAGCTTTTGCAACAGCTAGTGAAAAGAAATTAATCATCACTCTTGCAACTGGAGTCAGCCCTGCTGGTTTGGCCGTTAGTACACGGTACTGCCACATATAAAGTGTAGGTTTGAATCTCAGTTACACTATCAGATTCCACAGGCCATCAGTGCCTGGCAGCAGCAACTTGGTTAGTGCCATGGGGATGAAATACCTGGCATTTTCTCCAGAAAAACTTCTGGACAGCTACAGAGTAACATGAATAGGCTATGAAATTATTTCTGTCCTCTACTGGAAGAAGGGAGACTGAGGTATAGCCATGAAGGATGGCTTAACAATGGTGACAAATTGAGAAGAGTTGGGGAAAACTGTGCACTGAAAACTCTTCAAGGGGCTCCTTTGCAAAAAGGAAAAGTTATACAAGCTCAATACACAAATGCATTAGTTTCCTAATTTGGGAGTCCATCCCTTCCTTCTTTTTCATGTAGTTCAATAACATGGCATTCCCCGTGCCAGGAATAGAACAGCTAAAATTGTCAAGGCCATTTTATCACTATTAAAGCTAATCAGGCAGGGCAAGGATGCTGGTTAAAGAAAATGGTCATAACTTCAGGTTGTTTTCAGAATTCTCTAGTCACTGCAGTCAACTAGCCAAAATCCATAGGACCTGGAGGTTAATGGGGGTCTTTCCACTTGCTTCAGTGAGTTGTGCAACAGAATCTCATAGTGGCTTGATCCCACTTCTATTTCACCAGTCAAAGGTGCTTTAACTGTTGAACTCTGTGCAACTGCGGAGCCAGATCCAGTACCAACAGTGTAGCTTCTGCCCTGGAGATATTCATGGAAGGTCCAACACACTTATTCCAAAAGAACTCTTGTAGGCACAGACTTATCATAGTGCAGATTCTGGATGAATGTTTGTAACTATCTCCATGCATGGTAACCTCAGCATACATTGCTACCTTCAGACAACAACCACTCTAAAGGATTAATTTTAATCCACAGGTTTATAAAAGATAAAAAACCTAAACATCATACTCCAGAAATGAGAAGAAAAAAGACATGCGTTCATCCTGCTGCACTCCCTCACATATGACTTGAGTGTTCCCAACAGTATATATGAGTTAGCTGTATCCCATTTAGTTTTAAAAATTACAAAAGTTGGGGTTTTCCATTATCTGTTTTCAGAGATCCACAAAAAATGCTACCCCGCTATACTTATATGGGCCTTCTTAAATCAATAAGATTACTGTATATCAGTTAAGTATATGGCATAACCCACTTCCATCAATTCCTGTGCAATTGCTCTCTATTGTAGCAGTAATTAGCTTGCAAAATACAAACCCAGAATACAAGACTTGAAAATAAACACTTTTAAATGGGGATACCATGGTGATGTACTAGTTTAGAGATGCATGAGGACAGAATGAAATGCTTTAAGGAATTGGTTTTTGTGGAATCTGGTCCTCTGAAGATGGGATTCACACTCAGCAAAACACACTGCTTTGCAAGAAAGCAGCCTTGGGGAGTTTTTTGATGCCAGAAGATTCCCAGTCCTTGTCCAAGACACAGCCTCATACCTCTAAAGGATCCATTTGATGGATAAGAAGTTGACAGGTAAACAGGTAAGTAGTAACATAACTACAAATAAAGGCAGAGTGGCAGACTAGGATAATAAGTAAATAAGTGATTTGTGCAACTGCAGCAGGCCAAAATAACTAGCAGTATACATACCCCCGGGGTTCTCTTAAATAGTGTTGGAGTCTCGACATCCACAAACCCTAAGAAACAAAACATGCTTCAAAAATTAAATAATCAGAGTAGGGGAAGGGCATGGTTTGGAACAAGTTGGCTACAGTCAGTAGCTGGTCATCTTGAGCGGTGGGGCACAACCTGAAGCTACTCAGGAACCAGTAGACTCATCTAATTCTTTTTAAGACGATTAAGAACTATTTGTGAAGTTACAGCCTGATCCTGAGAGGTGATAAGCACCCACAAATCTCATCTGGACTTGGATTCTCCAGTTCTCCCTATAAGCTAAAAAGCCTCTTATTAAGCTAACTAAACACTTAAAAATGACCATCAATTTTAAGATGAACACAGGCCCTTTGAAAAATTGGCCCTTTAATATGCCTGAAGTTAGACGGCCAGATAATAAGGCATCCAGGATTCACTAACTTCTTGTTAAAATCTTCCCCTTTACTATGTACAGCTCATTCAAAAATGATCACCTGTGACCTGATAAGGGACTAACTGCTATTGTGCCCTTGAAATATAGCAGCATCCCACTGTAGTCACCATTGAAAGATAGTAAGTCACCATATGAGGGGCCACACTGGGGCTGCACTTTGCCTAATGTTCCAACCCATGGTAAGTTTTACAGCAGTAAAGCATGGAAGCAAAAGGAAAAATCCTGAGAATCTGGTACTATTTTTTAGTATTTCTCTTACCATGGAGGTTACAGAGGTATTCCCGCATTCTCATCACCATCTGGGATCTGAGGCGCAGATTGTATTGCATCTGGGAACTGCGTAAGTCCAAGTAACGATACTGCATGCGCAAAGCCTCAGATTTCTAAAGAGAAGAGAAGAAAGACCTCAAAAAGCAAAATTAAAAACATGCCCGCAACTGCTTCTCCCGAAACTACACTGGAAGGCAAAATGGTAATGAAGGACAATGCACTACTGGGTGTCACTTTTATATATATGCAGGAATGTGTGTGTGCAGTTTGCCTCAAACTGAAGGTTCTTTAATAAAAGCTATCTGGTCTAAACTCTGTATTCCAAATCCTTGCTTTTCTCTGTGCAGGAACAGATCATAACAATCCTCCTTTGAATTTATGGGGCACTTTTCATTCACAGATCTCAAATAACTTAAGCAAGCATGATCATACCTATTTTACAGAGGAAGAAACCTAAGGTACAAGAAGTTATGCTTATATTGATGAGACTTATGCAGGATCACACATTCATGCAGAGCTTAGCTCTCTTGAATCTTGGTCCTCACCACTATGCAGTGGACCATATTTTATCAGGGCACTTCGTCTGTGATGGAAGACCTCTACCATGAGACCTGAAAGACCTGACCTTCAATGTGACTGATCTGATTGAAACAGCAGGTAAACCCTCCTGCTACCTGACTGTATATATGGGTAACGTTAACTCCGCTATCTTAAATATACTTAGTACTTTTAACATGTTTTGCATTGCAAATTACAAGAAACTGATGTTGGCTCCATATTTCCACCTCCACTGCTATCAATGTATAGTTGAACCAATGCACCAAGGCAAATTATACCTTGCATTTCACTTTACTATTATCAGACTTTAGGTCTCAGAGCTCAATTTAAGAAAGTTCTGCTGTCAATGAACATGTTTCCCCTGCAAAGGAAACTGTATGGGTTAGAAAAAAAACACGCTCTGTTGTCTCATGACAAGAGGGTGGCAGACACCTTGGTGAACTCTTTAATTTCAAATGGTAGCTTCTTGCAGGAGTTCAGGACTTCGGCAGTCTTCACCTTCACTTCAATGTCACCTGTTGGTATTCTCTAAAACAAAGAGAAAAACAAATTTAATTCCCCTGAAAAATACTTTGATGGGTTTATTTTTGGGTCATAGATTTTCAGGCCAAATTGGACCCCTGTGATTACTTAAGTGTGGCCTCTTGTACACCAGAGGGCAGAAAATTTCCCCCAGTGACAGTCTTCACTTAGCCTCCCTCAGTGTACAGATCACGGTCAGTTACTTCCAGTGTAGGACCTGCTGGGTATTGCTCTCCTTCAGCAGCATATCCATCCCTATATGAAAATAAAACTGTTGCTTGCCTATAACGTGCTCTTTCAGGCACAACCAAAGCTTTGACCTTTAATATGATGGAGAGCAATGATTTAAATTATTGTACACATTACAATGCTTAGGAGCTTGAAGGGTTACACCAATTCTGAAGAAGAGAGTTCCCACTTGAATTCGAGAATGGACTCTTTCCTGCACGTATCATCTCTACAACAATCACGCCCCTTATACTCTGTTTCTTCCCATCTTTCAGGATAAACTAGAATACCTTCTATTACCAATGCATTTCTAAGACCATTGCATACTTTAAAAAAGGTGTAAAGTCTAAAGCTGTCATTCTCTGTGATATGTCCAAGTATCAGGGAGCCTAGTCAGAATCCTGGCTTCTATTCTCAGGTCTCCCAATAATTAAACATATATCATCTTGAAACTGTCACCTATGGCTGCCGATTCCAAGAGCTGTGCATGCACACTGCCTCTTAAAAGAACAGGCTTTCAAAACTCTGTGCTTCTATAGAACAAGAATAATAGAATTGATTTGGGCAGGCATTATTAATAAAAGATCAATATGTATTGCAGAATCCTCTACACTAATTTTTATTCTTACAGGTGTTAAATGACAGCTTCTTAACAATGTCCACTGTCTCTCAAATGAGTGGTGGTGGGGACTTAATTTATGAATTTTTGTAAAATGCATTGAGGTTCTCGTAAGGTGCCTGTAACAGCCATCATTTCTCTCATTTCTTTCAAATCATGCAGGATGAACTATCATACCTTAAGAAAACAAGGTGGCCAGGGATAAAGCCATGCCACAGAGCATGCAGTGAACTCCACTTGCCAGAAAACACTGGTAAATTCAACACACTTCCCAGAAGTACAACACTCAAAGAAAACCCTCACAAAGATTCCAAAGTACTCACTGGGTTCTTTTGCTCTGGAGGCCGGGAGCAGACTGTTCCGGTCACTCGTAAAACAGACTCCATAGGAACATTGCATAAGATGCTCTTTACATGGGAATGTGCCTGCAGAAGGGGAAACATTTACTGAAATGCCATGGAAATTCAAGTTACCCTGCAGAGGTGTTGATGTCATATGCTTGTTCTGTTTTCCTAATGGCCCCCTCTCACACTAGATAGATTCTTTATGGGACACTTGTAATGGCAATACTTGCATTGCAATAGTATCTAGGAGCCCCAGTAATGGACCTTGACTACAACGTGTTAGGCTTAGCAAAAACACCTGGAAGAAGATGGTCCTTGCAAGCCACCTTTTAAGAAGCTTAACATTTAGCAACCCCTCATTCAGAGCGCACTTTGGTTCCGCCAAAGAGTGCCAGTTGGGTCTTGATCTCAGCTGTGAACTTTCATCATTACAATTCTGCAGGTGTGCTTTAGGGATCCCCAAAGTTTGCCCAGTTGAGAGCTGCACTGGCAATCCACCCAGGGATTGACGCCCACAGCTAAAGTTGACAAATCTGAACAAACTGCAAGTACCCTTATGCTCTACACAAAGTCAGTATGACAACGCAGGACAGCTTATTCTGCCCTTGACATCGTATGGACAAGTTGTCAAAACGGAAAAGCTACACACTTTCCTCCATTATCCCTTACCTCATCCTGTGGAATGATGAGCTGGGTCAGCCCCTGGAAGTCCCTCAGAACCAGAAACAGGTTTTGCCTGATCCATAATAAAAATAAAAAAAAGAAAAGAGCTGTTTCTCTGAGAATGTAACCTTTTCCAGATTTCTAAGCTGAAACCCATGTTCCTATCTTGCACTGTTTTAAGGTTACAGTTTTAATCTCAGAGCACTTTAAAAGCTACACATGTACAATACAGACAGAAG